GTAAAAGTCCGCATCTTCAGGTGCCAGACCCAACACTTGGAAGTTGTCGATCTTGACGATCTGATGCGGCTTGGGCGAATCGATGGAGTCTGCCTTTTCATCGATGTATTGGATTTCGTGTTTGTCCATTGATGGAGACATTGCGATGAATGGAAAAGAGGAATGAAGTATACCAGGTTGACGCGAAACCCGGGATGCGATGGTTATCAGCAACGTCGGATGCCAGAAGCTTTATACACATGACATTGGTCGCGGCACACGATGTTGATGGCGGTTGGATTGCGGAGAAACATGTGGAACCCCGGTTTTTCGGTTTCCTGGAGAAAGCTAGTTGCGGGGAAAGTAGTTCTTGCACCAAGCCCGATCACGACAGTCATCTAATCAGCTCTCTCGCGGATGGTTTTCCGAAGCTAACGAGAATCCGGTCAAATCAGAAGTGTTTCCGCCCCTCGGATGTATGCAGGTATGCAAGTCTCCACATCACCCCAACGTGTGGTCGAAGCCGGGGAATGCAGCTGCACAGGAAGAACCGACAGATACTAATTCGACGATTGTCATCGGTTTTGACCTCTAAAAGCACAGCCTTTCTTTCATTTCTCTTCGAGCAAGCCTTTGTTACAAGCCACAATCACTATGGCACCAGCGCAGATAGCTATCCCTGCGCCACTACGGCCGTCAACACCACCATCTACATTCAGGCATGCCCGAGACGGCCTCCTTCAACCAGACGAATCCTCTATCAAGACAGTCGATGCGCTCGTCCGGCATCGCGCGCGTCGTGATCCTCATGTCACCATCGTATCGTATCCGAGCTCTGGGGTTGACTTCGTGGATTATACCATGCAGCAGTTGGACGTCTTCGCGTACAGAGTAGCTCGACACTATCAGACCTTCATCCCTACAAGATCGAGTTCTGCGGAGATGCCAACCACAGTAGCCGTTCTTGGACCAAGCAATATGGATTACATTGTGTCGATGCTTGCGCTTACCAAACTCGGCCATACGGTACTTTTTCTTTCAACGCGTATATCTCAAGCAGCTATCGACTCTCTTATCACCACAACCGGAGCCACCTATCTGCTGGCGGATTCACGATATGCGCAATCTGCAATCGATGCTCAGAAAGCCATACCAGGGTTGCAGATCAGCGAAATTGCCAGGCCTAACACTTACAACTTTCCTGTTGAAGTCCATGCAGACACCCGCCTTGACTACCAGCTCGACCATACAGTCGAAGCCTCAAACAACATTTACATCATACACTCCAGTGGTATGTTTTATCTAACAGTCTGTTGGTGTTTGAGCTAATGTGAAGAAAGGCTCTACCGGACTGCCGAAGCCAATATACCAGCCACAGCGAAGTGCAATCGCCAATTATGCCATTAGTATGGACATGAAAGCATTCATTACCCTTCCCCTGTATCATAATCACGGCATCTGCAACTTCTTCCGCGCGATATACAGCGGCAAATCCATCCATATCTACAACGCCGACCTGCCCCTGACCCAATCTTATCTGGCTACGATATTGAGGCAGCATAGATTTGAGATCTTCTATGGTGTGCCTTATGCGCTCAAGCTTCTCTCTGAGACAGATGAGGGGATCGAGCTATTGAAGCAACTCAAGATCGTCATGTACGGAGGGAGTGCCTGCCCAGACACGCTGGGCGACCTATTGGTGAACAGCGGGGTCAATCTTGTCGGCCACTATGGGGCGTAAGTTTCATGTGATCACTTACAGCAAAGCCAAGCTTACGATGAGCAGCACAGAAGTAGGCCAACTCATGACATCCTTCCGACCTGCCGACGATAAGGTATGGAACTACGTTCGCGAGTCGCCGAAATTATCGCCGTATCTTCGATGGGTATCACGCGGACCCAATCTCTACGAATGCACGGTCTTGCCGGGCTGGCCAGCGAAGGTCGCCTCGAACCTACCAGATGGCAGTTACGCCACGAAAGACCTGTTCGAACCGCACCCTACGATCGAGAAGGCATGGAAATACATTGCGCGTCTCGATGATACAATCGTATTGGTGAATGGCGAAAAGTTCAATCCAGTCATGATGGAAGGAACGATCCGGTCACATCGAGCTGTAACCGAGACGGTTGTCTTTGGTTCAGGTCGACCATACCTTGGCGTTCTTGTCGTCCCAGCAATCGAGGGCATGCCGGAATCGAAAGTCGTGGATGAGATCTGGCCCGTTATTGAGGCTGCGAATCAGACGGCCGAAGCGTACGCCAGGATATCCAGGGACATGGTTCAGATCCTACCGTATGGCTGTCAATTTCCGCGTACCGACAAAGGTAGTGTGATAAGGCAACAATTTTACAAGCAGTATGCCAATGAGATCGACAACGCATACGATACCGCTGCATCAGCTCAAGGAGACCTCAAAACATTGAATGTTCCGGAACTTGAGGACTTCTTACGTACTGTCCTGGCCAAACAATTGACGCAGGCAGGGGAAATCGGAAGTAACACGGATTTCTTTTCGCTAGGCCTGGACTCGCTGCAATCGATCCAAATCCGGACGGAGATTCTCAAGAACGTCAATATTGGTGACAAGAAGCTCGGCCAGAATGTCGTCTTTGACCACCCTTCTATTGCATCTCTCGCCGCACATCTCGACAGCCTTCGCACCGGGCAAGAGGAACAAGTTGTGTCGGTCACTGCGCAAATGCAAGACCTCATTGCTCAATATAGCAACTTCGAGCCCATTGCTAGACGTCAAGCTGCGCTTACTGGCGCGACCGGTTCGCTTGGTGCTCATGTTCTTGTACAACTACTCCACCGCTCGGATATTGACACAGTTTACTGTCTTGTACGAGCGAAAGACTACAAGACCGCAGCTCGCCGGGTTCGAGAGTCTCTCATACAGCGAAAGTTATACCACACCCTTTCGCTCTCCGGACGCAGGAAAATACAAGCCATACCTTCTGACTTGTCTGAGGCCCATCTCGGCTTAGACGATACGACTTATGCGCGTGTTGCTTCAGGTCTTACCAGTGTTATTCACTGCGCATGGAGCGTCAACTTCAACAAGAACCTGATGTCATTTGAGAAGGACTGTATTGCTGGTGTGCGTCACCTGATTGACCTCTGCCTGGCTTCATCATCGACCAAGCCTGCATCCTTCGACTTCTGTTCTTCGGTCAGTACCGTCGCACGATGCCCCGATATGCACACGCCTGAGCGATTAGCCGAGCTTGACTGGGCCCAGGGTATGGGATATGCCCAGAGCAAATGTGTTGCCGAGCACTTGTGCTTGGCTGTAGCGAAGGAGACCGGTGTCAAAGCGCGAGTTCTGCGTGTCGGTCAGATCGTCGCGGACACTGTTCATGGTGTGTGGAACTCAACTGAAGCAATACCGCTCATGATGCAGTCCGCTCTTACTGTCGGTGCGCTACCTCGACTGCAAGAATTCCCAAGCTGGACACCAGTCGATGTCATTGCGAAAGCCGTAACAGAGATCTCGCTCAGCGACGCTGGATCTGTAGTGGCGAATGTCACCAACGCAAAGACCTTCTCTTGGACTGACGATCTACTTCCTGCCCTTCGAGAAGCCGGCCTCCAATTTGATCAAGTTGAGCCCAAGGAGTGGGTGCGCAGGCTTCGCGAGTCCAATCAAGATGCGGTAGCAAACCCACCCATCAAGCTTGCTGACTTCTTCGCATCCAAGTACGATAAGGACGTTTTCGGTCCTTCGCGTACATATGATACCACTGTTGCCAGAGCATTCTCGCCTTCTCTTGAGACAGCGCCTGTACTGGATGCAGCCTTTGTGAGGACATTTGTCAGACAATTCCAGAGTGCTGCCTGGCAGATACGTACTACTTCAGTCGCGAAGCCGATGAGACGCGTTGTCGTTGTAGTTGCCGGGCCTTGTGGTAGCGGGAAAAGCACTGTCGCACGACGCCTCGGCGCTCACTTCAAAGCACCTTGTATCGAGGGCGACGAACTACACACCGAAGAAGCCATTGTGTCGATGGCTGCCGGTACACCCCTCAATGACGTCGCTCGCGCCCCTTGGCTCGCGCGCGTTAGACAGCGAGCGCTCGATACCGTGACCAAGGAAGGCCACGAGCGCGTATTAGTCTCTTGTTCGGCTTTGAAGAAGTCATACCGGGATGAGTTCCGGGTTTTGGTGGATGAAAAGATACGGGTTGTGTTTGTGGACTTGCAAGTCGAGCCGAAAGAGCTTGTGCGTCGAATGAAGGGAAGAGGTGGTCACTACATGAAAGAGAATATGGTGGAGAGCCAAATGGCCATCTGGGAGACGGCTGATGTATCAGAGACGGATGTGATACCTGTAGATGCTGGACAGTGCGTTGAAGAAGTTGTAGAGGAGATCTCCGGGTTATTGGAGGCGCTCGATGTCATGTAAAGCGCACGCCTCGGGGGCTGTATTTTCTTCTAGTCCATACGCGCAAATATTAGAAATCGAGTGGTCCAAATCCTCAGTTGTTCGCATATTGCGATGCTGTAGACTTCACCGCACGTGAGCTAATGCAAGCGAGCGAGCGGTTTCAACGACGAACACATGGTCATTCAGAAATGGAGGAAGTATAACGTGCCGCCTGTAATAATTTCTTTCGTTTATAGACGCAAGCCAAGGCAATGAAAGCCCTCCAAGAGCAGACCCGTGCGAGCTCTACCACTACGGCGCCCTCTACCCCTGAAGGCGACAGTTCGCAGCCGCTCATCCACAGAACGCACAACCCCAAGGTGGAAAAGTATAACGAAAATATGACCGGGCGCGGCAAAAGTGAGGGGGAGTCCCTACGAAACAGTCGAGACCGTCCTAACTTTGTCCAAGATCCACGGCGTACGGAAACTCAATGTCCCACGATACCGGATGATCGCCCCCCACATTCCCATTCAGATCCATTCTTTGGTAGTCCTCAAATCACATCGGGACCAGCGTATTCTGGGTATGGGCAAGCTCCTGAGCCTGGTGACTACGGTGCAACGCCTTTCCCTGCTACAACACAGCCATATGGGCAAGATTCCAGAGCTTTCTTCCTCCCTCAGCCAAGCTCAGCAGGTCAATTCGAAGACCAAATCAGGTCTCGAAAGCCGAATCGACCGGAGAACATGTCGAAGTCGCCAGGTCTGGTGCCGACTACCGTCGAATTACCTCAAGGGTCAAGCATGCGGTAAGTAACATTTTGAGAGCATTTGCCCGGCAGGCATAATGACGACGCAGTAGTCCAATGTCAGGTATATCGACAGAAGAGACGCCAGAGCCTCGAGACGAGTTTCCTAGTACACCTGCGTCTAATCAGTTTACCACGTTGGAGGAAGAGTACGCAACCCTATATCACCAGCGTCATGAAATTGGTATGAGGATGGAGGAGATAAAGAGAAGCTTTACTGCGGAGGAGTACGCTGCTTTGATGGCAAAGCTGGATCCGCAGAAACTTCCGACGCTCAAGCCGTGGTCTGGTACTACTGATGGTTGAGCAAACGGTGTAGAATTGGAATCATTCCCTCCAAAAACCACAGTCTGTGTCCTACTTAATCTGTATCAATGTGAACAAATGCTGCTCTCGACATCTACCTGGGTACTTGGATAGAGAGCGCCCGTCTCTGCGCGCGCATACTTGGAATATTTCACGAGCCGTTGAACACAGATAGGAACTGACCGTAGCACTCTGGATGAGACTGAAGCTCTTGTATCGCTGCTTCGAATGATACTTCGATGACGTGCCCTGATTGCGGCGAGGATGAAAGTTGTCCCTGACCTCGGGAGACCCCTAATCGCTACAAGCGAGATGGTCCAAGCTCAATCCCGCGGCGGCGTGGTGGGTGGAGCTCCGAGCATCAACACGCCGAAGCCAGCCAATTCCCTGCCGACAACCGCTGTCCCCTTCCACGTCGCTGCCATGCTCTCTGGAATTCTCATCTTCAACCAAAAGGGTGAGAACCTCATCTTTCGCGCCTTCCGCAACGACTGCCGCCCGCGACTTGCCGATGTCTTCCGCATTCAGGTCATCTCCAACGCCCAAGTACGCTCGCCCATCCTCACCCTTGGCTCCACCACCTTTAGCCATGTCAAACACGAGAACATATACCTGGTCGCCGTGACCAAGAGCAATGCCAATGCGGCGCTCGTATTTGAGTTTCTGTACCGCTTGGTGGGATTGGGAAAGGCTTACTTCGGCAAGTTCGACGAGGAGGCCGTCAAGAACAACTTCGTACTGGTCTATGAGCTACTGGACGAGATTCTGGATTTTGGATACCCACAGAATACAGAGACAGACACGTTGAAGATGTACATTACAACTGAAGGTGTCAAGTCGGAAAGGGCAATGGTAGGTCACATCGAGCGCGACCAGAGCAACAACAGCTGACAAAATCACAGGAGGACTCCTCGAAGATCACAATGCAAGCAACTGGTGCCCTTTCCTGGCGGCGGGCCGATATCAAGTACCGCAAGAACGAAGCCTTCGTCGATGTCATCGAGGACGTCAACCTGCTCATGTCTGCGACCGGAACGGTACTGCGAGCCGACGTGAACGGACAGATCATAATGCGCGCATATCTCTCGGGCACACCCGAGTGCAAGTTCGGCCTCAACGACCGACTAACGCTGGGCGAAGATCACCTACAACAACCGTCTGGAAACAAGGCAGGCGCGAAGGCTACAAGGGCGGCAGCGGGAAGTGTGACGTTGGAAGACTGTCAATTCCACCAATGCGTGAAGCTGGGCAAGTTCGATGCGGACAGGATAATATCCTTTGTTCCGCCCGACGGCGAGTTCGAGCTGATGCGCTACCGAGCGACTGAGAACGTGAACCTGCCTTTCAAGGTGCACGCCATTGTCAACGAGGTTGGCAAGACAAAGGTTGAATACAGCATCGCCATTCGCGCCAACTATGGCTCCAAACTTTTTGCGACAAACGTTGTCGTGCGGATACCAACACCCCTCAACACGGCGCGCATCACCGAGCGGACATCACAAGGCAAAGCCAAGTACGAGCCGGAGCACAACAACATCGTCTGGAAGATACCGAGATTCACAGGGCAAAGCGAGTTTGTGCTGAGTGCCGAGGCCAGCCTGACCAGCATGACCAACCAGAAGGCGTGGTCCCGACCACCGCTCAATCTGAGCTTCTCGTTGTTGATGTTCACGAGTTCGGGGCTACTTGTGCGATACCTGAAGGTGTTTGAGAAGAGCAACTACAGCAGTGTAAAGTGGGTGCGCTACATGACGAGAGCGGGTAATTATGAAATAAGGTATGTTTCTCCTGCTCCACTACTCGATCACACCCATCTCACGTATATCTACCAGGTTTTGAGCATTGTCATTCTGTACATTAGCCTGGATTCACACAGGTGTTATTGCATTGCAGGCGTCATTGAGCCACTAAAGATATCCTTGAGCACAATGAAAGTACAACATCAGCTTTTTGAGTATCGTTCCATCCGTGACCAGAAGCTCAGGCTGATCGTTCAACGGACCAGCCACGGTTCTCAAGCTTTGATAACTTTTCTACCGTCTTCACTTTCGACACCACGTGCGCGAAAGTTTATGTCGAAGTACAAAATATCAACATGGAGTTTTCAAACCCCATACCAGGTGGTTATAAGGGTGAACTTCCTCAGAAGCATTGGAGAGGCCGTGTTCGTTTGACGCGGCTTCTATTCCGGGTCTTATTCGGGCTAGCGCAGGCCGACTGGTCCTTCCACATAGTCCTGTCTGCAACCTCGAGGCGCGTCGCATCGCAGCGTCCCCTTTTGTCTTATCTCCACTTTCAAAGCCGCATGGACACACAGCACGCCTTCTGCAGACTCTAGACATGAACAAAGTCGGAGAAGTGTGCGATGACATCGCCAGCAACTTGTCGCCGCAAGCAGCTCGTGCTTATTGATGCGATACTCGCACTAGTGAGGGTAGGTACACTTACTTATTAGCATCTCTGATCTCAACAGCATATGGCTAGAAATCACAAAGCTAACAGTGAATTGCGTAGCGAAACAGGTCAGAAAGTACGAAGCTATCTATATTAGCAGGCAGGCCGGCGGACTGTGCAGCTTGCAAGGATTGGTACCGTATCATAACGCTTGATATGTCGACCCCTCATGCTGTGCCGCAGCCACAATCTCACCTCAGCTGCTGATCAGCTGTCATGTGAGTAGCAAGAGGACATCTATCATGTCAGTGGGGAATTTCTGGCAGACACCGGCACATTCACAAGACAACTCTATTGTTCTTCCAATTTTTGAACAAGCGTTACTGTCGCTCCTCTATGGAGGGTGTGGCTGCCTTCTCGTTGGCGTGCAATGTTATACAAATTGCCGAACTCTCTCGAAAGATCATCGCAACCGCGAAGGAGATCCAAACTTCTCGCAACGGCTTACCCAAAGACCACGAAGATCTACGTGCAGCTGTGGAGATCCTACGTCGAGATGTTGCGGACCTGCAGCAAAATTACAACGGCGATATCCTCCAGAGTCTTGCTGTTCAAAGCGAGGTCGCTATAAACGAGCACATAGCCCTCTTGGATTCGCTTCGACTGGAAGGACCCCGAACCTTCCTTCGTGCCTCGGCTGTAGCCTTCAAAGCACGGCGCAAGCAGCGCCAGCTGTACGAGTCTCAGGCGAAAGTTGACCGACTATCGGAAGAGCTCAAGACACACATTGTCATGACCCGTATCCCGAACATAGATCGCAATGTGGATTACCTTGGCGATAAATTAGCGTCACACAATCTCTCGATAGATCATGATATGAAGATCATCGAGCAGCACCTGAACAGGGTTCATAAAGTAACTGAAAATAACTCGAACACCGCGAATGCTACATCAGAGCTCGTTAGAGAGTTACAGCGATGGCTCAAAGATCAACAAGGAGCCCAGGCGAATAGGCAGTGTCTATACTCACTCTACTTCCCAGAAATCCGGAGTAGAGCCGATCAAGTAAAGCGAGCGCATGAGGACACGTTTGGTTGGATATTCGATGGGGCTGGTGACCTATCTGAATCTATTCACAAGAGCAAGTTCAAGAAATGGTTACGGCTGGACGATCCTAGCAGAAACGTGTTTTGGGTGTACGGAAAACCTGGCGCTGGGAAGAGTACTTTGATCAAGGTATGTTTATGAACATATCGAACGTCCGTTTCATACACTAACTTCCCATCCTCGCATCGTTCAGTTCATTGCTACTCACCCGGATATGAGATTGCACTGTCAATCCTGGCTGGGATCGCGCTCATTGCTTGTCATCGACTGTTACCTCTGGAGGCAAGGAACGATTCTGCAACGATCATTCAGGGGAGTTTTGCAATCAATACTCTACCAGGCTCTTAAGGAATGTCCTCAGCTCATTCCAAAAGTCTTCCCCCGACGCGAATGGACGCACGCCGGAACAGATTTTCGATTTCCACAGGACATTCTGTGGAGCAGTTTTCAGGATCTTTTGAACTTGGCGCCGAGCTTCAACATCTTCCTGTTGTTCATCATCGATGGTCTCGACGAATTTGACGACCGTGTAGAGGTACTCAACAGTTCGGCACCGGATGTACAGGACTTGCTACGTCTGCTTCGCGCTATACAGGCATGTCCCTCAGCAAAGCTTTGCGTGGCTAGTCGGCCCCTAAATGAGTTTGAGATTCATTTGGGAAAGGATAGAGACTTCTGCATACCCGTACACGACTTGACCTCAAGAGACATCAAAACGTATACCGAAGATACACTGAGCAAACACCCTGCGTTTGCGCAACTCGTATTACAGGATCCCGGCTATTCAACCCTCATCGCAGATATCACCTCCGCTGCAGAAGGAGTTTTCCTATGGGTCTACCTCGCATGCAATTCTTTGTTTAACGGATTGACTAACGCGGACCGGGTTTCTGACCTCCAAGGGCGGCTGATGCGTCTTCCCCGCGAATTGGATGAAATGTACATGCATATACTGTCGACTATTGAGCCTGAGTATCGCAGAAACACCGCCCGCTCACTCTTACTATGTACAATGCCCGAACAGCAGACACTCCTTACACACCATTACTTGGACGATGAAAGTCGCAAACAGATATTAGATGCCCCGAGCCTTCAACAGTTCATGAACGGTGAAGACATGGTATTGTTTGCGGCCACAGTTCGCAGAAGATTCCACGCGCGCAGTAGAGGGCTGTTAGAATTCAGGGCCCGATGGGACCATCAGAGCGATGAGTTTCATGGAGTTCAGCACGAGATGTCAAAGCTGAGAAACGAATGTGTTGGACTAGCACACAGATCTATGGCAGAACTCCTTGACAGAAATGATATGAGACACCAGATCATGACCGAAGCCGGTATGGCATTCGAAATGCCTGAGCTTTATGCCCAAGCATTGATGGCCACTCTCAAGGCACAGGTATCTATCGCATGGACGCTTGATTCGATTCAAGATAGCGGCATTCACTTCGGGAAGAAAGATCTGTATGATGTGGAAAGAAATATCTGCGCTCTACTGCACAAGTTAGTGCCAATTGTGGAACAGGCAGAGGAAGAGCAGATGAAAGCACACTGGTCCAAACTTGACGATTTCCTCAACTTCCCACCCACACAGGAGTTGAATCTCCAGGCTATCATCATGAACTCTGTCTCTAAAGAGCTTGTTCCCGACATTTTCGCCGTGGCTGTCGCCTATCGCGCACCCAAGTATGTGTCACTTATGTTGCGGCAGAATCCGGACCTGGCCACGAACAAAACAAAAGCCTGGCCACCTCTGCTAGTATCTCTACTCTGGAGTTACTCGATGGACCCGTCAACGTCTCGACTTTACCAAGTGATGAGAATGCTACTCGAGCATGGCGCTGATCCAAATGAACCTTTCCAAGGCACAACCCCGTGGAGGTGCTTTTTGGAAAACTTGCTCAGTTGGTTTCTCCGCAATCCTTTTCCGTGGCAAGGTAAATTAGAACGTATGATAGCTCTGCTCGTTCAGTATGGAGCCGATATACATGTTACTTGGGATTGGCTTGGCTATGCTCGGGACGAGCGCACTGAGAAGGTTGGTCGAGTCATTCCTTCATTCACAGATTCTGGAACGGGCTATCAACAGGAAGTACCAAATGCCGTGACTGTAACTTTCCAACTTAGCGCTGCCGCAGTTTTATATCATCTAATGACAGGGGCTGGGTGTTCAGAGGGATGGAAAAAACCGGCACCAGAGTGGCTACCATCAGTACCTGAGCAAGAGCAGGTTGAAATGGTACTAAATGCGCACAGCATATACGAGTTTCAAGCTTTCAGGAGAGAGAGGCGCAATAGACTTACCCTGACGACATGAAGTCTGCTTTCGAATGGCGCGAATCGAGGCTGACGTCGCGTTTGAATGAACCCGAGTTGGATGGGAGGAGACGATGTTCGAAGCGACGATGTGGTTCCTGATAGTCAACCTTTTCGAACGGGCCTGTAGCCTTTTCAATACATGTACAGACTGTGAAAGCTTTCATGGTGCAACACAGGTTGTGACAGATGCACGGTATGAAGATACTGCCGAGCGTCAAGTCGATATATGCATGTGCATGCTGTACGCTATACGATAAGTATCGACTTTCACAGTCTTCATAGCACCTTCGCCTACAAGAGCTTGGGAGTGGAATCTAAACCCCCAGTTCTAGGATTTTGCCGCGTCGATACGTGGCTGTAGCATGTGGACTATAAAGCACGGTGATGACAGGTTAACCAGTCAATGACTTAATAACCCAACCATGTAGGTATTAGTACACAAAAACAATGGACATGACGGTCTTTATATCCGCTATATCGTTGTTAGTAGCTTGCGTGGCTTCACGGCATGGTTCCAGGGTTACGCTGACAAATTTCTTTCATGACCTGCCTAGTTTCAATACAGCACGCCCTTTGTACTCCTGACCTCGCCCTCCCACTGCTTCACCACAGTGGTTGCGTGCCTGATGGCGACCGCAAGCGCCTTGAAGGCACTCTCCGCCCTGTGATGATCGTTGTCACCGCGTATGCAGTCAACGTGGAGAGTGGTGCCCGACGCCTGCGCAAAGCTTTGGAGGCAGTGCGGGATCATCTCGCAGCTCAGATCGCCAATCTTCTCCCGCTTAAGTCCCAGCTCGATGATGCTGTATGGCCTGTTCGACAGGTCGATGACAGCCCGTGACAGCGCCTCGTCGAGCGGTGCGTATGCGTGTCCGAAGCGTGCCAGACCCGTGCTTCCCTGCAGCGCATTCTTGAAGGCGGTGCCTAGCGCCAAGAATGTATCTTCGCTCGTGTGGTGGTCGTCAATGTGCAGGTCGCCCTTGCACCGTATGCGCAGACTCCAGCCGGCGTGCTTGGCCATGGCGTGGATCATGTGGTCGAGGAAGCCGATGCCGGTGTCGACGGAGATCTCCTGGGATGTCGACTTCTGGGTAGCGTGATCCTTGTCTACCTTCTCGCCATCGCCATTGAGACTCTTCTTGTCGTAGGCTGCCCAGAAGTCGCTGTGCTCGTAGGGTGAGAGGTCGCCGCCATCGATGTTTATCGAGACCTGGATCTTCGTCTCGTTCGTATCGCGGTTGAGGCAGCAGGCGCGCGGCATGGTGGCGGTCGTGTGCGTAAGATTGATTTCGGCCGGCTTCGGGGGTGTTGTGAGCTTGTAGAGCGGTCAATGATGGATGGCAAAGTCGAGGGACAAAAAGTTGAAGCGGATGCAGAGGGGCTTCCCCACGCCCCACGTCATGGCGCCAAGCAATATAGGGCTGGAAAAGTCTGGCCAACCAACGAACCGCCGAACCAAAGTCCGCCCCAAAATTTTGATATCTCAAAGTCACGTCTCGAACACAGGATCGTCATTCAGACGCAATCATATAAACGCGTTTTCTCTCAACCTACATCGGCTAGTCATTAAGTTAAGAGCAAGGAACAAGGTCAAAAATGCCAGGCGCAACAGAAGAACCCACGCAGGTCCCAATCTTGGATCCTACCTCCGAGAACAACGAGGAGATTGATCCGGCGATCGATCGCGACAGGATCAGAGTCGTACGTACGATCTATATAATATAGCAAAACGCGTATCTAATTTTTCATAGCTGTCCGGTGCGACAGAGACGGCAGCATCTTTCCAGTTTGATGGCGAGGACCACACGCTAGGCAACGCGCTGAGATACATCATCCACAAGAAGTAAGCCAAAACTCTGAGCGCATAGATGAGTAAACAGCTAATGGCTCCATAGCCCCGATGTCGAGTTCTGTGGTTACTCCATCCCGCATCCTTCAGAAGCCAAAATGAACTTGCGCATCCAGACATACGGTAGGTCATACATGCGAAGCTACATATGTCTCGCAACTAACACTTGACTAGATGGTGTCAGCGTATACACCGTGCTGGAGAAGGGCCTTGAAGACCTCATGGCCATGTGTGATGTTGTCGAGCAGAAGTTCACAATTGCACGAGATGACTTTGTAAACAAGATGGAAGAGTAGGGCTACAACGCGCCTATAGTTGCGAAAGTATTGCATTGCTGGCGTTCAAGGATAGCATGGTCAACTGGCGAAAGGGAAGGAAAATGGTATTGTCTTCAGCTATATACACCGAATTTTGTTCTGAGTTGTCCCCGGACATTGGTAGTAATGGACAAATCAGTTGCGACCCTGTACATGCGCATTAGCATATGATTCCGCAAGAGTATTAACGCAAAGAGTGAGCGTACCTCCAAGAAGCCGTTGATGAAGTTGCTTGGTAGCCGGGCCTTGGGATCCTCTTCCGCGCGGAAGTATTTGAGAACGTGTGACAATTGTTTCCAGAAGTTGAGTGTTTCCTGTACGATTATCAGTACATTCCCCACTATCAAAGCGTGTTGGTCCGTGGTGTACCTGGAACTCCTGATGACTGTTGAACAGCAGCACATCTACTGTTTTGAGTTGATTCACGTATCGATGCCGCTCGAATTCCTGCCGCATTTTCGTTCGGAGCGTGGATACGGGCATGTTCAGCGAGTACATGGTCTGGATTTCGGGAGCCTGTAAGGTCATTGTCAGCCCAGGTTCCAGGTCCTGCTGCCCGCTTCTCCGCATCCCACGCTTTCCCTCCCTCGTTCCAGCTCTTTCCGTACACAACGTGTATCCAATCCCCAAATTCGCCCCAAAGGACTTGTAGATTCCGGGTGTCAACGTACCGACCGGAGCCAGTCCCGGTAGCTGTGAATGACCCTCTTCTTCGCATCAGTCCAGTTGACCGCTGTGCCCGCATTAGCTTTTCCATTCCTCCAATGTTCCGTGAGCGTGTTCGACTAACAGGAGCGCGTGCGCTGAGCGAGGTAGGTGGGGTTGATGACCATGTTGGCGGTGTTGGGGAGCTTCCAGTCGTCTCGAAGCCGGAGCTGGAGTGACGATGCGGCTCGCGGGAGTGGAATGCCAAGACCTGACGTTAGCGCGGATTTTACTCCCGGCGCAGTCGCGAAGTTATCGATGGCTTCTCTCTCGCGAAAGCACGAATATCGAAAACGTCTTTGCAGCATACTCCACGCTCGACCGCATCTGTCGCCATATTCCATATTTTACCTCGCGCCAAATTCGCAGATTTCGGCCTGCTACAACCAGCCCAGCCATGCCTCCAGTCCGTACCGCACGCGCTTCGCGCAAGGCCCCGCCGGAGGGCTTCGATGACATCGAGGACACCCTCCTGGAATTCCAGAACAAGATGAAGGACGCCGAGAACGCATCACACGAGGGCAAGAAGAAGTACGAAATGACGTGGCCCATCTTCCAAATCACCCACCAACGCTCGCGCTACATCTACGACCTTTACTACGAGAAGGAGGCCATCAGCAAGCAGCTCTACGACTATTTGCTTAAGAACGGCTATGCAGATGCCATGTTGATCGCCAAGTGGAAGAAGCAAGGCTATGAGAAGGTAAGTCCATTCTGCACAGGCAACCTCTTAGCTCGAATCAAACTAACTCGTGAGTAGCTATGCTGCACGCGCTGCATCCAGACCAAGGAGACAAACTTCCGCTCGACCTGCATTTGCCGTGTCCCCAGGGATCAGCTCAAGGAGAACCAGGAGATTCAATGCGTGAACTGCGGCTGCAGAGGGTGCGCCTCCAGCGACTGAGCAGTACAACGAGGAGAATCTGCGAGGACAGACCCATACTCTGATTAATAGCGATAGACGCTGTCTACACTCTACGAATACTTCCAGGGAGGATACAAAGAAGCGCAATCAAGAGCGCACGACAGAACCAGGCGCAGTCAGCAGGTGGACTGCTACAAGATACTGAAGTTGGCTGCTCATACCGAATGGACCGCCAAGATGAGTTTGAGAAGAAGGTCACAACAAAAGCATAGGGTGTGTCTATTGACCAGAACATAATAATTCAAATGTTAACTTGTATACAGAGAAAAGTGAGTGAATGATGGTGTCCCCAACCTGGACGCCTGCAACCTGTGGGTATACTTGAACCATTACGCAAGTCGTCCAGTCGTAAGGGAAAACCCGGTCTATGTTTGATATCCGCCTGCCCGCAACCCATTAACCAAAACGCCTCTCCAGCAACTCAGAAGGCCGAGCTTGCATCGCTCATCCGCTTGTAATTGGAATTGGTACTACGTTGTGATGATCTCCGGCTCATGTCCCGACCAAATCGCGACTCCGGTAGGGAATCCAGAATGCCTTGCCGCCGAACCCAAGCTGTCGGTGGTGGAGAGGGCCATAGTTCTGATATTTCAGATCCCAGACTCCTCCTGGCCAATTCGCTGTGTGTTAGTCGGAATGGGCTAGCCCCATCAATTGGCGAGTCTCGACCGGAGCGACCCTTCTCCGATATGCTGCGCGCGGGTGTCTTTGGTGTCGCGCCATCATCCTCTTGGTCTTGATTCACCATTCGAATGTACTCTCTGCTTTGACCGAGAACCTGGGCTTCTCTGTGCCGGCCGTCAGAGACATGAGTGCTGAATGCGGACATGTTGAAAATCTTGCTTCCTCGTCGGGTGCTGTCTAATGACGGCAAACGTATCATGTAGTCTTTCTCTGGGGCCGGAGGAGGTGTTTGCAGAGTTTGCCTGGCTTTCCGCGCTTTTCGTCTGCGCCACCAGAATGCGGTGAAGATACATACCGCACAAAAGGCGATCATAACGGGTATCATTCCAAGGCCAATCTTTGTCCCGAGAGTCATTCCTGGTCCCCCTCGTGCTATTGAGTGTGCAGACGGTGTTTCGTTTTTCATGGCTGATGGGACCGCTGGCGGCGGCGGCGGTGGTGGTGGTGTTGACGAGTCTACGACGAGTGCTCTTGGTAACGATGCTGACTGCGCTGAAGGGCGCGTGGGCCTTGTGCTTGGAGTGTTGAGTTCGAGATTTGACATTACTGGATTTGCTGTATTTGCGCGTGCCCATACATGGGGTATATTAATGATAGGACTCATGTTGGGTGTCGATGTGTGTTGGATAAAACGAAGTAAAGAAATGTTTCTAGGTATGGCAAAGAACGAAGGTAGAAGAAATGGCCATGCTATGTCCAATATCTTTTTTTAGTGAGTGAATTAGTGATGCCGACGAGGTGTCTCTATCATCGCATGTCGAACGCAAACCTGAAACCAAGCAGATAAAGGTGCCTTTGTAGAATACAATGGAAGCACGGTCAAGCACCGCCTACCGTGCTTTCGAAGACAATCACCACACTGACCACGGGATGATTATCGATTTGCGCGTTCCGCTTGGTCCCCCGGTGGTCTATGATGAGACGCAATTTATCCCGACCATAGTCGTACGGCACTGAATTCGCATCCATGGATGCAACTGCTACTTGGTGAAGCCAACGACTGCTGCGTCGTTCCTTACTATGGGTAAGTACACAAGAGGGGTTTACACCTGCATTTTCCAGCTCTTGGTACAGATAGGATCAATCCGTTCATACGATAACACTTGCATCCGCATGAACATGACAAGTCTTTCTTTTGCGCGCATAGATTCTCGTGAAGTACCGACTCCCCTCAGCACATGCGAACGTCTAAACCCAAACGAACAAATGCCATCATCCCGTTCATCTCTCATTTGCTCAGACAATCGCAAAGATGAGATCAACACGACTAACACGCTGATTGATATCAAATTGCCACATACTCGAAGAAGTCGGAAGGTCTAACAGTTCAACACCGATGGCTGGGATCTTAGAACGGCTAGCGTAATGCACTTGCGCTGTTTCTAGCGTCTCCTTGTTCGTCCTTGCAGCCTACCTCTCACAAGGCTGCTGAGCATGGCTTCTCGAACGCCCATAAATACTCGACAGTCTTTTATTCGTCGTTCTTGCATCCGAACAGCCGGAGAACATCTCCTCGTCGTATTTTTTGCTGGCTGAAACACAACACAGAGATGATCCCCGAGCTTTCCCCACGTTTCTCGCCGCACCTGCATGCATGAAGATAGAGAGCTGATATATGTGCGCCTACACAGCGTGGGAAATGCCAGTCTTTTGGGGAAACGGGGCCTATGGCCCATCACCTGCTTCCAAGCCAATCTGCGCGATAGCGAGATGTTGCTCTAGCAGACTACTCACGGCTAGTGTTCCTCCCTTCGGCCGCCCTTGTAGTAATCGCACCCTTGGGTACTGTCTTTCATGTTGCGCAGACCACGAATTCTACACGCCACAAATAACTGCTGCTCGTCGAAGGTGGAGTCTGAAATGCCATAAGCAAGCATACTTTCGACCGGTCACACAGGTTCTAGACGCAAGGAGCAATCCACAGTTGTGATACGATGAGAAGGGACCGTCGCACTGTCGCAGAAAGTCAGCTTTCGCGATTTTGTGTTCACGGCACAAATCAGAAGTGACGAGTATCATGTGCAGCAGCGTTTAGGTTATGTACTCTTATGAGTATCGCTCTAAGATTTGTCTTACTGTACCCTTGGGAAAGTCACCTACCTATATGAAACGCGCCGACGTCAAATGCCATGATTGCTTTTAGTATCCTCATCCTCTATATTACCTTTCACGAACTTGTGATATCGATGGGCAAGGCTGCTAGGGCAGATTATCTTGAGACGCGATGAGTAGCCGGGACAGACACATGCTGTTTCAACGGGACATGACGACTTGTCGATTTCGGTGAACGATCACCTCGGTACCTAGGTAGTGACGCAATGTTGGCGAAACAGCCGCTTTCTGGCCAAGACATCACATCTGATGTTAGTAGCTATTTTGGAAAGATCAAACATAGCGGAACCTTGTCAAGATGTAGTTTACGCTACGCCACACATGCTGATACGCACGAGGGACTGCTCACATATTAGGTTCTCAGCAAGCGATGCCTTGCCAACGCTGATGGCCACAGCCTGCAAAGAGTGGGTTGTACTGGGGCTCTCCCCATTCGTCATCCTCAATCTTAAGGGAGCAAGGCTGCCGCAACAAGACCGAAGCCGAGAATGAGGCCAAGATGCCATGTCAAACAACTGGGGTCCGCTTGTTTCACAAGGCGCGTTCCAAGACTACCAACATTGGTATCGAACAAAGAGTGTACCGCCCGAGCGCATGGCTGGCATATAACAAGTAGAAGGCCTCGTAATCCAGAAGCTCATACTCGTCAAATCCAAAAATCCACGATCATGATGTCCTTTACTTCTGAGAAAACGCCACTACTCCCTGTCGTCGAACGCACTCTTGACGCCTACGTCAGGAACATGGAACAGCGCCGTCGCGAAGGCATCGAGTACGCATTGCTGGTATCGACACTGCTGTTAACGGTCTTCCAATTTCTGGTACTTTACAGCGGCGACAGCCTCGTGCCCGTAGCTCTGGACAGCCGCTACTACGCCCTGTTGGCCCAGCTCGCGCGCGGCCTGCGCATGTCAATTCCAGCCAGCCTGCCCACAGCAGCCATCTTCTTCATTGTCGCGCCGTACCTGGTGCAGAAGGAGCGGGTTGTGATGACGCGGTACGCGATCCTCGTGTGTTATTTGATGGGGTCGACGCTGGGCGCGTTGCTGCTCTAGACGCGCAGGGGTTTTGACTCAACGTGGCTCGCGTGGGGATCGGCGGGCAGCGATAACGGCGGGAAAGCGCATCCTCCAACTTTTTGGGCAGCTTCCATCGCAAGACTCATTGGGCGCAGGACGTCAATTGAGTGAGTCAGACAACACAAGGGATACAAAAAGATCATCAGGTATGTATGGTCCTAGCATTGGGCTCCCTCGACCGTTGCTGCCGCGAGAGTTCCTTTGTCATCGCAGTAATCGCAAACAACGACTCAAGTGTCAACATAGCTAACATCGTCACACAGTGCAACTGGTTGCTCATTACGTATCGCAATATGTCCCTCACACGGCCCAACCCGCGATTCCTCACCCGCACAAACCGTATCTTCACCTCGCAAATACGAACATACGCTGCACCGGGCGACGGCGTGATCCCACCTGCCAAGAAGAAGTATGTTCCGACCTCAGGCACATACCCGCTCGGGTTCAAGGCTGGAAGTGCGCATGTTGGTGTCAAGGCGTCCAACACCCGCTTCGACGATCTTGCTCTCATCGCATCCGACACACCCTGCGCGGGAGCGGCCGTCTTCACAACGAACAAGTTCCAAGCTGCTCCAGTCACAGTCAGCAGGGACATGCTGAAGAAGAGGAAGGGCGAGGGAATCCGGGCTGTCGTAGTGAATTCAGGGTGCGCCAACGCAGTGACGGGACGTGGAGGTATTGAGGATGCTATATCCATGGGCCAAGAAACCGACAAGTGCTTCATACAAGACAAGAACGGGCAGGACGACCTGAAAGGAAGCCGGAGCATTGTCATGAGCACAGGTGTCATCGGCCAGCGCCTGCCCATTGACAAGATTACCTCGAAGATACCCACTGCATACTACAATCTCGGAGACACGCACGAACACTGGCTAGGCACCGCACGTGCAATCTGTACAACCGACACATTCCCCAAGCTCGTCTCAAAGACATTTTCGTTACCGAGCACTCAACAAGAATACCACATTGCGGGTATGACTAAGGGCGCAGGCATGATCCATCCCAACATGGCCACGCTTCTAGGCATAATCTGCACAGACGCCCCCGTCGCCCCTTACCTGCTCCGTCAAGCACTTGTCGCCGCCATTGGAAAGTCCTTTAACAGCATTTCCATCGATGGTGACACGTCCACCAACGACACAGTTGCTATCCTAGCCAACGGTGCCGCCGGTGGACAGCCCATTACCTCGGCCGATTCCAAAGACTTTGCCGCTTTCCAAAAAGTCCTCACAGACTTCTCGATTGACCTGGCGAAACTGGTCGTCAGAGACGGCGAAGGTGCGACGAAATTTGTCACCATCAAGGTGACAAATGCCGCGTCGTACAAGGATGCTCACCGCGTAGCCTCGACCATTGCGCGCTCACCGCTCGTCAAGACAGCCCTGTACGGAAAGGACGCAAACTGGGGCCGTATCTTGTGCGCGACGGGTTACGCCGAAGGCGTTGACTCCGTTGTTCCCGAAGAGACGAGCGTTAGCTTTGTCCCCACGGACGGCAGTGAGGAGTTGAAGCTACTTGTCAAGGGCGAGCCGGAGCAAGTTGATGAGAACAGGGCAGCCAAGATTCTAGAGGCTGAGGATTTGGAGATCAAGGTTAGGTTGAGTGAGAAGGAAGGCGAGGAGGCTGTCTTCTGGACATGTGATTTCAGTCACGAGTATGTCACTATCAATGGTGATTACCGGACATAAGGAGAGGTACATATGATATTTTATCGAGCGATTCATCTATCACTGCAGATGGAGTGTGCAGGCATCATGTTCCGTATTGTGGTTGCCCACGCCCAAGACTTCTGGGGATCACAACCGTGTAACTTTCTCACTGCCAATACAAAAGCCGAAAGTCCCAAAACTGCCACATACGACCACAGGCAAAGGACTACTCCGGATCCCGTCTGCTCTCCACACGATAAACCTTTAACCGGCGAACTAGTAGTCAGGTGGGTAATGTTTTTTGCACATGCTCAAGCCTCTACCTTTTCCGGATCAACCCATTATGCGCGAGTCTGAAGGAGGTAAAGTATGCGCGATAAAGCTCGAAATAGTACTTTCTGCAAGAGTTGCCCTATGCGTACATCCGGCTCCCCTCAAAGGAGATAGATATCCCAAGGTTCACAATGAAGCACGTACGTATATGCGTACGAAGCCGTGTAACAGCGCAGACCACGTTGCTATGCGGCGTTACTTCTTTTCGCAACTCTGATTACTTCAACATTGCCGTGGGACGCTACGGGTATGTATGTACGAAGACATGTACATACGACGCCTACATGGCGACCATGCATGCACGCATGTCCGCCCCGCCTCGCCATGCACATTTAGTATTGTTTACCGCTGTCGATCGGGTAAGCGACTGTATACCGTTCCATGGAACGCCATCGCTCTGACCTACCGAGACTGCCGACATACGTGCCCTAGGGTCTAGCTGCGTGGTCCGTTTGTGGGGCAAGTACAGACTAGAGAGCTGCGCTGCGTATGCAGGTGCATTGACGATCGTGGCTAGTGTTCCGGCTTTTGAGTAGGTGAACGGTCGACCGAAGGGCCGAGGGTACGCTATTCTTGCTGCATAGAGAGGGGAAGTAGATTTCCTTTTTGCGGGAGGAGGGGCATTGTCGGGACGAATGGGCTTTCGTTGGGAGGGGGTTAGGAGAAGAGGGGATGGGAAAAGCAAAGGTCACGGAAAATTATCTCGACGCGAAGTACTAGAGTGTATGAGTTTTGTGATTGGAGGCAGACTGGTCAGAAATATGCGAATGAACATCAGATTGACAGAAGAGCATGTTCGTAACCGGTACCAAGCTAAGCAACTCATGAACTGGGATGAAAGTAATCAGGCACATTGTTTAGAATCAAGTAACATGTTTAATTTGCTGAGCAAGAAATACTATGGAATCCGCTGCGTTCAGGCATGTTCTCATTCTCGTCGATATCATAATTATGCCATGTAGAAATGACCATCTCTGTTCGAGTCCAGTGCCGCCTCAATAGATCATTACGCTTGCATCGCTCAAAGAAACAGGAACCCAGAACACCGTAGTAGAGACAGTGACAGGGGCAATATGTACGTCCGCGTGGCCTTACAACGCCTCGCCCAATAAGAAGATATGTCGAATTAGACGTTAAGAGTAGGAGGGCCAGCCGTTGCTATCGTGGGTATCGTTGGTCGTTACATCGTGAGGCGGAGTTATCCAATGGATAATCCAAAGTAGGAGGAGTCGAAGTGATGATCTTGGGCACCGTGATATGGAAGGCCAGGAGGTAAGAGCTAAAAGATGTAGTCGCAAGATGAGGGGTATCGAGAATGGCGAAGAATGAGGTATCCAGATCCAGATGATGAGATCCAGGGGTGGCGTACAAAAGTAAGGTTGAGCCAAAAGCCATTTATGATGGCGGGGTGGTAGTCGATTTAGAATCGAGTAGTAGAACTACGAGCCAAGCTTGGTCTCGCAGACTTCTTCTGGGGCGATCCGTTGGGGGCGACGGCCAAGGTCCTTGCTCCAATCTTCTCAAAGCCTTGAAGCAGGTCAATACCTGGTTCAGACTCGTCACTGTGCAACAGATGGAAGATGTCCTCGTCATCCTGCTGTGGCTGTTGCGGCTTTGAGGGAACGTGGAAGGATTGAGGAGGCGTGAGACCGGTGCGTGCGTTCTCTTTCTTCGGCTGGGGAAGAGCGAACTCGGACAGAGGGGTAGATGCATTAGACTTCAGCACGGGAGCCTTGATGGGCGACATCTTCTTGGCAGGCGAGAGGTCTGGGATGTTAAGGAAAGACGATGACATCTTCCAGTTGGGAGTAGGTGAGTTGGTCATGTTCCCCTTGGCGCCAGTAATGTCGGCCAGAACACCGCTTGTAGTGACGGCACGTTCGAGGCGGGGGCGCTTGGCTGAACGCTTGAGGGGGCTCTCGTTGTAGCCAAAGTCTCCAAAGATGTCAAAGGTACTCTCGAAACCATGTCCGACGAGGTTGACGTTTTCTTCGTTGGGGATAGATACAGCTGGGCTCCAAGCTTTGTTGTCAAGGAAGGAAGTGTCAACCCACATAGCAAGGCTCTTATCTGGTGAGCCGCCTACTAGTTCTCGCATCTTGTTACGATGGTTGCGTAGATTGGTGTTGGGCGATGCAGAAGCGGGTGGAAGAGCAGGCCGCTTGAAGACAATAGCAGGGGTAAGAGGATCGAGAACCTTGGTACCCTGGCGGACCGGCGAGGAGATGGCAGACTGCTTGTGAGACCTAGGCTTGGTGGGAGAATCGTAAGAGGAGCCACGTATCCGGGCAATCTCTTCTTCAGCACGTCCACGCTTAAGGTTGGGACGATCGAGATCCGCCTCGGAAGTGAGTAAAGGTCCCATTGGGTTACCCTTGGTTGCAGACGATTCGATGGACGAGTAGTAACCGCTGTCACCGAGACCGTTGAACTTGCGCCGGCGTCCGCCCGAACGGCTGTTGGGTGCGAAGTGTGGAGCGCGTGGCGGTGTGTCCTCACGCACTGAACGAGATCGAGAGACAGGAGGAGGAGGTGATGAGTGGATGTCAGCTGGTGGAGGCGAAGATGGCATCTGACGGGGCGGTGGCATGCTAATAGGATCATGGCCGTCATGCGCGGCAGGGTCAGAGCAAGGGATGGTAGCTTCGGAAGAAGGTAGCTCGGCCTCTTCCGGAAATTTGCTCGAGTCAAATCCCTTTGTCGAACTCATGGGTGGGAAGCTAGCCGACATGGATGTGGAAGGACGCGGGAGATCACTAGCATATGCCGGAGCAAGGGACTCTGGAGGTGCCGGTCGGCGAACGGGCTTGACCTTGTGGTACTGCTTCTCGAATCCAGCATTAATGACCCAGTAGTGGCCTTTTCCAGGGTCGTCCTTGGGGCGTTCTTGCTTGGAAAACGATTTGCTCAGACTAAGGTTGTGGCGGATGCTATTTTGCCATCCAGTCTCTTGGGAGTTGCGGTAGAAAGCGAATGTGTCGGAGATCCATTTGTAGATCTGCGCGAGGGTCAACCGACGGCTCGGTGATCTTAGAATAGCCATGCCGATGAGCATCGCATAGCTGTAAGAAGGCTTGTTGCCGTCGTCCTCTACGGTGGGCATTTGGTCTGGGTTGGGTAGCGGTCCGTCCACGTCTTCGATCTTGATGTCTTTGACGAACTTCTGCTTCTTGGTGATGTTCATGTTGGTGCGGTCGCGTAGCGGGGCGGCGTCCATCAGTGGTCGCTTGTTTCCCTGCTTCATGGGTGGCTCTGCCGCTGACATGGCGGACATGACGGGGCCAGAATAGTAGGCGTTCTCCTTATCCATATGGGACGGATAGCCGGGCCAGTACTGGAGTTCGCCGACCATTGGATCTGAGTCCTGCGAACGCGCAGCCTGGGTCTTCTTGGTGGGCGCGTCGGTGCGAAACCACTGCTCTTGCGGCGGCGGTATCTTGACCGTGTTGAGACCCTTCTCGGTAAGGGCGCTGGGTGGAGGAGAGCTGGAGACTTGGCGGGTCTTGCGGGGCGATGCTTTGGCGGTGAAGGGTGCGGGAGGGGCGAGGAGGGTGTTTGAGTTGTTGGACACGTCGGTGATGGACGTGAAGGCGTCGAGGTCGCGTGGATCAAAGGCGTTTGCTTGGTGGTGGTTGTGAGGCTGTACAGGGTCCTGAAAAATCTGCATGGAGTGTTGGCGACGCGCTGCAGCCATGGCGAGACTCCGCTACAAGGGCACCAACAGCCTTGTATAGTCTCTCCAGACGCTTTGACGCGTGAAGTCGCGTCTAGAAATCCAAAATGGGTCCGTCGAGGCGATTAAGCACGGTCGGCGGGTGCGGTGTTGACTAAGATTGCGGTGACGAGGGCCAAGTGAGTCGTTGAAGGGGCGGTAAGGTGCAGGCTGTCAATTGTCGGAGGGAGTATGCTGCCTGTCATGTGCGGTGCAATTCTACGTGACTTTGTGAGAAAGGAGCGCGTTTAAGGGAGGGTGGGCTGCTATCTAACCTGTGCTGATGGGATGAGGCAGCGGAGCAATTCGCTTAAGGGCGCTAAAAAAGAACCTCTGACGACAGTAATGCCGGATCTGCAGCGGGAGGGCGGTGTGCGTTTTCTTCTGATAGCAAATAATGGAGGAATGCGGCGGGAGAGATTCAAAGACACAAAGTGGGCGATGAAACAAGAAGAGGAGATCTTGGGCCGCTGCTGGAGCGCGGAGAGAAAGCGGGCAGGACAAGAGGGCAATAGGCAGGCTTGGAGGCAGCTGCAGCGCACCTTCCTTGGCTGCCACCGCAAACGCACCTACAAGGAAGGAGCAAGGGAGCGTGGCCAATGAGGGGGTCCGAGCACGGGTTCCCTCTGATCGATCGCACGTCATGCCCATCTTGCCCAGGAACAACCTCGCGCCGGCAATTACACTAGCCAGCTGTTTGCAGTGGGCGTGCACGGTAAGGCTGCTGCCATTGACGCCCATCTGAAACCCATTGCTTTTGCCCGCCGTGGGAGCCAGCACCCAACGCCTGTGGCGACGACTGGGAGAGCCACCGACGTGCAAGCGCCAGTGCAACGCGTCGGTGAAACAACTGCCCCGTCGCAGCCAGCTATGCTGCAAGCCGGTGGATAACAGCTATCGTATGCCTAGGGAGTCGCCCCGGAGCGCAATGCACAGCCTATCGAGTGCCAGACGGTGGCACACTCTGATCCGAACACTAGGGGCGCATGAAACT